TTAAGATAGTGTAACTAATAAGAAACGAGACCACTCTATCTCTCTCTCTCTCTCTCTCACACACACACACACACACACACACACATACACTGGTAATGAAACGGCTTGTCTCCTACATTACTGTAGTCCCAGTGGGATTCAGCACACAGGCTGGCTAGACCAGAACAGTAGCACTTCTCGCATCCATGGAGACAGTCTCCACGGAGATTATAGAATCCCTGTTTACAGCGGTCGCAGTTCTGTCCCTCCACATGCTCCTGCAGAGAGAGAGAGTGAGAGAGAGAGAGAGAGAGAGAGAGACTGTTGAGTGAAACTAGGCTGCATGCACTATTAAACACTGTTAAAGCAGCACTAACCCATGGGAAGTGTGTTACTTAAACACACACACACAGGTGCACAGACCTCTACAGTGAAGGAAAAGTCATTATTCTTTCATTTCATTTATTTCAGTAACTGCAGGACCTCTTCACATCTGTATGTGTAACTGGGATTGTGCACCATTCAGAATTACTGCTGAAGAACTGCTGTAACTAGAAATAAGTTTGCCTATACGTACATCAGTGAGATTTTTTTAATGAAGTCTCTTCTGCTCACCAGGGCTGCATTTGTTTGATTTAATTTATTTCAGTGATCAAAGCTGAATTTTCAGCATCATTACTCCAGTCTTGTGTCACATGATCTTCAGAAATCATTCTAATATGCTGATCTGCTGCTCAAGAAACATTTATGATTATTATCAATGTTGATAACAGTTGTGCTGCCCAATAGTTTTATGGAAACCGTGAGACATTTTATTTTTCAGGATTCACAGACGAATATAAACTTCAAAACGAAATAGAAATATTTTGTAACGTTATAAATGCATTTACTGTCACTTTTGATCAATTTAATGCATCCTCTCTGAATAAAAATATTAATAAATAAAAAAAAAACTGATCTTACTGAAGAAAGCATTTTAAATCTTACCTGTTTATTATCTTAAATCCATAAGAGTGTACACACAATGACACTTAATTGTGTAATTGTGTTTATTTATTCCAATATAGAAAATATGTTACACAATTTATCACAAAACTTGTGATGAACTAGTGAAATTAATTCAGAGTGCTCTGAATTGTAACTCAGTGTTATTTTAAACTGAATTCAACCTCCTGAGTGTTGTGCCCAGCTCAAATCAGATTCACACTCATGATCTTCAAGGAGTCATTTCATAAATGTTGATCATCAATCAACCCTGCTGTGTGAATCCAGTACTAACTACAGTATGAGGAACTCTCTCAGATGAACTTTTCCGTTCCAGTCACCAGACTGTGTTTCTGACACTTTCATTTATTTCGGTATATTACAGCTATCGGCAAGTTTGGCATCAGATGGCAGCACCTGGAGCGAGTCCATCCCGTCTGTGGGTGTCATTTACTGATGTTTCTTAAATGTCCCATTTACACTGGCGCTCTGCCTGAGCCCAGCTATTACAGAACAGAGCTGAACGTTTGCCTCTATAATCTGACCATCACAGCCTCTTCATCTGGGCAACGCCAAACACGCTTCACCTCCGCTCACTCTTCATCTGTTCATCCATCCATCCGGAGCGCTGAGAGAAATCCCGTTAAACCCTTCTCGATCATCTGTAGTCCTGCATTAAAACTGAAGTGACTCATTTTTTTCTATTTTCTCAGTTTGTTTTGTGCATTGAAAGACTTTAATCTTTTTTTTTTAGGATGGGAAAACAGATCCAGACTGCAACGATTCGACAGCCGAGGAAAAAAAGATGCAAGTTAGTTTTCAGGATAACATCAAAGTGTAAAGCAGCTCTCGAGCAGTATTTCATTTACACAGAACAGAGGCGACATCAGATGTGTGTCTGATACTGAGAGATCGGATCAGAGCTGCTAACTGTACTGCAGCTTTCAAATGAAGCGTTGCACTCTTACACTGAATTTGGAGGTGCCAGAGAAACACTTTAACCTTATATTGTGTGTTTTGACCCAGAAATAGAAAATCTATGGCTGTTGTTGCTTTCTTGGAACTTACTGTCTGGTTGTCAGATCCCTCATACAAACTTCCACCTACTTTGGAAAGGCTGAATCACTGGGTCTGATGCATGTTTTATTGCAAAAGACTCACTCCCCTCTCTACTGCTGGAAAATTTTAAAATCCCTCGATGGGATTGAAATCAATCAGGATTCCCACCTGCTGTCTTCACAGGAAGAAGAGGCTGTTCTGGCGGTTTGTGTCTGATTTACTGTTCATGTGGACTCCCGGGTTTAAACAACAGCAGTGTTTTCCCACTGAAGGACTGGACTTTGGAAAAGCAACCACTGACGCCCTCGTCCAGCAGACCTAATATATGGGACCTAATGTACCGTGCTAATATGAAGGTATTTTCTGTATTGCATTTTCACAGGTGTTTTACCTGTCTTTGAATTATGCATTGCACTGTGTTGTGTTTCAGGGATTAAGGACATTTTCTTACAGCGTATATTTTCAGCTGTGTGGTGCACATCTCCAGCACCCTGTGGCTAATGTTGTCAGGCCTCCAGACATTGTGGATCTCCGCCAGCTTGTTCCTGAGGTCTCATGTGTAAAGCAGGCTTTCTGCAGAAGCCCTTTCAGCCAAACGTCTGAGGGTCTGTTTCTTGTGATTCAGATATATATTCATCTAGCTCCCCTGCAACAGCTTACAAGACTGGTACAATTGATCTCCAGACTTCATTGATCCTGGATCAGATTATCTCACCTCTCAAAGTTAAACTAAGACCAGATCTAAAGGCCTCTTCTTACTGAAACAAATCCTTTAGATCCTTCATGGTGCTTTTTGTTGAAGCACATTGTCCTTTTTGGACCTGCATTGTTCATGCAAGCTGATGTCATCTGTCAGTCTTTAAGTATCCTCATCACATAAGATGGTACATGTGCTAACCGGTCTCCTCTGTGCCGTTTTGCAAAAAGCCCCTTTCCAACCATTTCCTCTCAGTCTTGGTCGTGACAGCATCCACTGAACAATTAGTTAGTACATATGAATATGGCACACCTGAACCGGCCAGAGATAACAAAGCTGACAGTTTTCTGTGTTCATCTTAGAATATCTTGAAGAATTTCTTCTGGAGCATGTAAAAGACTGTTTTCGTTTCCATTTATTGAGGATATTTCACCACAAGCTTGTGTGAGATTCCTCACAACCTGAACGGTGGCCTTTCTGATTCAGTGCCTTTTTGCTTAATTGGTTGTCTTATTCAGGATGAGCAGTCTGTAGAAAGCTAATGCTGCCACAGACCTTTGTGCCAGATTAAATTTTTGACTGTAATGAAAACGAGGCTGTGAGGGACTGAAGTGTTTAATGGACTGTTCTAAACAACATAGTTCAGCTGGCAATACGCCTTTCTGAGAAAAAAAAAAACGTTTGTTTACAGGAGCAAAGGAAGCAAAGTTTCCTAACTTTAGCAAAGGAAAACCAGTCTCCTCTTGGCTTATATCGAAATCCTCCGACATTCTTCTTTACAAATCCTCGTTTTGTACTTCTAATTCGTGACCGTTGTTTTGTTTTGATCTCTCCGCTGCGCTTCCGCGTGCGTCACTTCTGAGCGGCGCATGCGCAACGCCGACGTCTTACGTCATCCTCCCGGAGCTGCTTCTGTGTACAACTGTTGGCGCAAGCTAGATTAAAGTGATTGTTACATTTTAAATATGGATATTTTTCTTACAAAAATGCATCGATTCGCTACAGGAGGCCTTTGTTCACCCCTTGAAACCGAGTGAGACACTTATTATTATGGATGGATACGCTTTATTTCACTTCTTTTGGACTGATGCATGCAACACCCGCTGACTGCCATTAAACAGCTTGGAAGATCAAAGACCATTTTTAATATAACTCCGACTGGATTCGTCTGAAAGAAGAAAGTCATATACACCTAGGATGCCTTGAGGGTGAGTAATTCATGGGCTAATTTTCATTTCTGGGTGAACTAACTCTTTAAAGACTTAGTGATCACTAAATGTGAGAAACCGTGAAGCCATCCAAATGACTAATAGGGGCCTAACAGGCCATATACAAAATGTTGTCATTTAACTATATTTACGTGATTCAAATTTAAAGAGTTTGGTAATGAAATGCGTTGCTAGACATGTTAGGTTTGCTAGTGAGTCTATATACAGCAAAAAACTGTGTGAATGCTCTCACAAAGGGTACTATGGCGGTATAGAGGGTATGCATTGACGTCACTTTCCCACCTGAACACACCCCCTCAGCCAGACTGAGTGGCAAAAGAGCTGCCGCATGACTGGTTTTAATAGGGAAGCTGCGAAAACGCGAGTAAAACAAATGATAATCAGTTTAAACTAAAGGTTGTTGGAATCAATATAGTGTTCCTTACAACTTACCAAAGATCCATGCAGCCAGGAATCGTGTGTCCTGACATTTATTTGTGCCTGATTTTGACGCCGAGAAATACATAAAGCAAATTTGCCTGTGAAGGCATTTTGTAAATACAAAGTAGGTTGTTCTAAATCCGGTTGATAACTTATATCAATGTTAAATATATCATCATATCGTCCAGCCCAAAAACTTATATAGTTTTGTCAGTGTTTATTTAAAAACATCCAGTTATGCAGAATATAAGATGGTGAATATTTAATTGATGAGTTGTCAATACGATATATATATAACAATACAATACATAAGATATGATTTTACTGCAAAATTCAGCATATTAACTTAAAATGATAAATGCAAATGCTTGTTTCGCTGCCTGGAGTCCATTTGTTTCTTTGAATTGCAGGATCTTTTGCTTCTCTTTTCTGTAGCTTTCGGCAGTCTGTAAAAATATACCTCAGATTTCTTGTCAAATCTATTTGTATAGTCAGTCGCAAAGCTCTTTCCCGTTTTAGATGTGTTTTGTGTGTTCTGACACAGCATTCACACTGAAAACCGATGCTGCCATTCAGTCTTTTTGCCACTCAGTGGGCAGAACCGCAGTCACTCCAGCTGACGGTGACGTCACGTGCATACCCTCTATTTGCACAATAAGTACTCAATATTTGGGTCCTGAACACTGACTGCATTATGTCCATGGACCATCTGTTGTTCAAAAACCTGCTAGTTGACTTGCATTTTCTTACCGCTCTGGCTTTCAAGAACAATCTGAAATCCCTTCACTCCAGTTGGGAGTATCAGCTTGACCATTTACTGTGCTTTGACCATAATGATCGTAGGCCAGGTCTGATTTCTTGCATTTGTTTTGTAGCTCAGCACTGGCAAATGCTCCGGAGGACACCGGGCCAGAGGATGTAAGAGGACAGAAAGCAGTCCTGTCACCCCAACAGTACCAGCTAAGCAACAAGACAAACACTGCAACTGCATTACAGTACTAATTTCTATGCAATCCAAGCTATTTTTGTATAAATTAGCTAGCCAACATCTCTTTGGTTAAAAGTATTTGCTAAATTAATGAATGTCAAGGTAAATATTTAGCTTCAGTGTAACTTGTCTTCCTCTGTTTGAAGTTCTCCATTGTGCTTCTTAACATTGCTCTTCAAAGTATTTGTTTTAATGAGCTTTTGGCCATCAAGCAAAGGTTTCATGCTTACCATGTGTATTAAATTGGTTGTTATACACAAATATCAGACTGCTCAATGCAGCTGTTCACGAGAATCAAATATCTGGCGTTTGGCAGCTAAATGAAGATCCTCGTCACTGAGGTAATTGATCAGCGAGTGTAGTTAACTGTGCTGGACTTTAGGACGAGTTGCTTGTTAAATCATAAATGCTGCAGGTTCTCTGTACTTCCCACAAACTGTGTATGCGTGATCTTCTGCATCTCAATAATTAACCTAACCAGTGTCAAAGTGCATCCTGCACGGTTGCTCTAGAAACCACTCTCAGTAATTGGCCGATGCGGGATAAACTCTGAAAGCATCCTGTGAACAGCAGACTTCAGAAACACAGACTGGCATCCATAAATATCTAAACATCATGACCCCAACCTACACACCCGTGGAATCGCATTGACCTCCATGAAGCCATTTCTCAGAAAATCAAAAATCTAATCAATACATTTTGTGAGGCAAATTTTGTGAGAGAAGTACTGTAAGAAATGCTTCTTTAAAATGACAAAAGGGGGGAAAAAAGAGCAAATTTCTAGAACACATGATGCAAAGGTTATGAGATAATGTTTTACATAAGCGCAATTTTTAACTTTTTGACCACATGGGCTGCCACAGGCACAAAGGAAAAAAAGATAATAATAATAATATAATAGGTGCACAAGTATCTATTCCAAGTAAACATAAAATAATCAAATTAGACAAAGTATAGTACTATTTTGTCGTAATGGTATTGTTGTAGCAGTGAGTGCAGTGATCATGACTGTATAAGCAGTGGGAGGCCAGTGTTAATGTGATAACACGTGTCGTACCTTACACACACAGGGCGGCTGGCAGGGATCCTGGTTAACGCTGCCTTCACTGCTGCAGTTGCATCGCTCACACAGAGGGAATCCTGTGTATCCAAACGCACACCTGTCACACTTCTCACCTGCGTATCCCTGCTTACAGATGCACGAGCCCACTGCCAAACCTGCAGAGACAAGAACACACACCATTACAGCCTGAGCTCCTGCTCAACACACACACAACACTTTCACTCAAACACACAAAAACAAATGTCAATACTACCAATGCAAAATAAAACATGCTTTAAAAACACTAATACATTTTTACCAGAATTACCTAAAAAAAACACCCCGTGGAAACCAGTGCAGTTTCAAATGCCTATTTATAAATTGTGCAATGCACACAAATTAGTCCCATAAAACATCCTCAAAAAGTGAAAAGAACAGAGAGTGACAGGAGAGTGGGGTAAGTTGTGATAATTTTTAAAATAATTTTTCCATTTGGCAAAGGTAAATGAAAGTGAGGTAAAACCAATTCACCTAATCATATTTTAGGAGGTCTGCTACTTTATCTTCTAAAATGGTAAGATCATCTATAACATACATGAATGGAAATATGACTTGTACAAATTAAAAGTGGTCCAGTGACAGCTTGCTTTGCCACGTCTGCGTGAAACTCAACGATTTACATTTTGAATAAAAATAATATAGTATGCATAAATTATACATTAACAACAAATTTACAATGAATACCATCCTAGAAACTTATTTTGCTCACTGTTATTAACATCTTTTTAATGACAACCAGAAAAGGTTAAATATTCAGAATATTTGCAGTGAAACAATTTTCAACATTTTTCAAGGTCCAACTATCAAGGCTGCAGGAAATTATGTCACTCCTTACTTTCTTTCCTTACTTTCTTTTTTCTTCAAGCGTTTTCTTTAAATGGTAGGTATATTTTTGCAAGTATATTTGAATTCTATAACAGATTTTTCAACAAAACCATCTCACTATCATTACTAACCAAGCCACTGGCACATTTTATTCCATCTTCCATCTGATGCATTCAGAAAGGATGAGTGTTTGCACCAGTGGTTCCCAACCCTGGTCCACCCCAACACCCAACACTGCACGTTTTGCATGTCTCCTTAATCAAACACACCTGATTCAGGTCATCAGCTCATTAGTAGAGACTTCAAGACCTGAAATTTGTGCGGCAGAGACAGGAGACATGCAAAATGTGCAGTGTTGGGGTGCCTCCAGGACCAGGGTTGGGAAGCACTGGTTTACACTACAGTGCAATGTGATCATGTGCTTCTAACGACCTCCACATGCTATTTCAGTGATCCAATCACCAAAAACACTTATTAGGTGTAAACAGAGCTACTGCCAGATCTTGTGTGGTGTTGTGTTGTACCTGCGGTGGCATGACTCTCGTCTGGGACACATGAAGAGTGCAGTGAACCTCTCAGGTCACATGAGCAGAGTCTGCAGGGCCAGGGCTCGTGTGGACTCAGTCACCTGGGAAAATATTCACATAATGCTCAATTACACAACAAAAACCATTTGATTCTCCCTTCACTGAGCCCTGCCTTAAAAATAATGTTGACCCATGGCCATTGACCCATATATATATATATATATATATATATATATATATATATATGTAGACACTCACCTCACTTGGTCTGTAGTAGCCATCTACACATGATTGACAGTTATTTCCTCCTGTGTTTTCAGAGCAACCAAGGCAGACTCCGCCTCCCTTATATTCACCATGCATATTCAAACTCAGCTTAGCATCAGCCACAGTCTGGTTGTAATAGCATTCCTCTGATTTGTCGTGACAGTTGCACTCTGGCAAATAAAGACATCACATGATTATACAACAATAAGTGAAGCAGTGCAGCTTTACAAGCAGCTCCTGACACATGCCACTGATAATATGACAATACCACATGAGGAAGAGTTGATCTGAATACTGGCACAGCTATGATTCAGACACAGGTAATAACAGGCGTGCTGATACTACGAACAACAGCACAATGAATTCAGGATCTTCCATTGCTAGTCCAAAAAGAGATGTCTAAATCTCTGTTACTGTCATGTCTGTTTTGGGGTTTTGTTTCATGTTCATTGTTTTCATGTCTCTTATTTTGTCATAGACATAGTTCCTGTCTAGTCATGTGATTGCCTTGATCGTTATGTATTCCTGCCTAGTGTGTGTGTCATGTTCTGATTGGTTGTTTAGTCATGTGCCTTGTTTCTCATTGGTTGGTTTGTGTCATGTGACCCTTATTGTTTGGTATTTATAGCCCTCATGTTGCCATTCTCTCTTGTCGAGTATTGTCCCTGTAACCTCTGTTGGTGAGTTCTTGTTTCTGTTCATGCCAAGTTTCAAGTCAAGTCTGTTTCAAGTCAAGTCTGTTTCAAGTCAAGCCATTGTCAAGTCAAGCCAAGCCTGGATTTGGATTATGTTTCATGCCTTCGTTGTTAATAAACTGCACTTGGGTTCACCAGGCTCGCCTTCAGCGGACTGATTGCTACAGTTACTAATTCAAGAATGTCCCATTAAGGCTAGCCACCGCAGCTTGGGTCGCTCCAGAATGGAGTAACAAGAAGGTGTAACAAGAAGTAAAAATTGAGTAACAAGAAGGCGACTAGATTGAGTGATATTTCTTTAATACAGTAGTTAAATAATTGAGTTAATATTGCGTAACTTAAATGTTAGACTCAGTATTGCCAGTTATTTTGTGTGTTTTTGCTTCACCAATAAAAACAGTTCCACATAAAGACACAGGGGCATTTTGTTCCTGAACGATTGTGTATTTTTGAACAACTCATTTCACAAACGATTCAGTGATTCACTCATTAAGACAGCCATCTGGTTAATTCCTGGAAAATTTATGTTTTTTTAGAAATTGGTTGAGTGAATAATTCAATGACTGATCTGAAATTGCATATTGTCTGTATAGGTTCTACATTTTATGAAGAATTTACAAACAGTGGAGAGTCCCAGTACTGTTAATTGCTATGCTATGAAAATGAAATGCTAATTAACCAATCAGACTGAAAGGCCCAAACTAACTGTTGCGGAATTCATATTAAGATGTATTAACTGTTACATAGTGTGACTATGATATATATATATATATATATATAGTCACTCAGATGTCATATAACATGAACTGATGTTTATAGACCACACCTAAATAGGACTAAATTGGTCAGTAAAGCAGCATGCTCAGCTCTGTGGGGCATTGTTGAGACCTCTTACTTTCACAGACGTGGCGTGTGAGGAAGGTTCCCGCCATCCAGGGTTTCTGGTTGTAACCAGGGCAACAGCGGTCACAGCTCTCGCCACAAGTGTTGTGTTCACACTCACAGCTGAATTTCTGATGTCAAAACGAAACAGTCAATAAAATCAACTGTGTGTCGTTCAGAAATGTTTTGAGAATGCCTTCCCAATTAAAACTCAATCTGAGATGGCAAACACAATGCAGAGCAGAATAAGTGATGTAAGCACCACTGAGGCTTACTCCAATGTATATAATAAAAATGGTGAAACAAATTGCCTAATAATAGCTGTATTTTGGTACTGAGCAGATCGGTGGACTAACAACACTTATCAATGTCAAAATGACTGAGATGGACAATCAAATCAAAAAAGGCGGGTGCTACCATTAATGGGCACTTAAGTGGAGTATGAATTTCAACATGAAACTTCCTTTTTAATCACCAAAAAGTTAGATGAAAGAGCAAGTAAGCAGCTTAACATTTAATATTTAACTTTTTTTTAAACTGTTACGAAATAAATGTTAAAGAACCAACAGTCATTTACAGAAATGCAAACAACTTATTTTCAACATATTAGCTATAAGATTAAGAATGAATGTGTACATATTGTGAATGAATTTAATGAATTTGGTTACACTTTCCTTACAGCCTTTCAGTGCATTGACTTATCGTCAGACCTAAACTAGACCTAAAATGGTAAAACGTGTGATTTTGACAAATGTTTTTTATAGGATGAGGTTAGGAGAGTCATATTAAATCCTATTTAAATAAATCAATCAAATGCATTCATTCCAGTTCTTTAACTATTTTTCTTTATCCATCTCCTTCTTCATTCCTTTAATTTTCTATTTTTGACAAAAAACCTCCAAGTTTCGGCAACCTTTGTATATTGATATGTTCATGGCTGGTCTGTGCTCAAAATTTAAAAGGATAGTTCAAATGAAACCTATTCATCTATTGAAACTGTGTCAAATTGTGTATTTTTATCCAAGTATTTGCCATGTAGATGTCTTTAAATTATTTTCATAAAGTTATCTGAAAATGTGCTAGACATTTTGTGGTGTTGTAAAGAAAATAACAAAACCTCTTTGGATGTATTGATGATAGTGGTAGTGACTATTACACAGACACAAAATATGTACCACAAAATACAGCATTTTGATCATATAAGACACAATGCAACTATTTAACTATTGATTTTTTAAAAACTGTTCTGAGTGCATTCTTTATAAAGGCCAAAAGTGATTAGTCTCTAAGTAACAACTTAATGATAAAGCTCAAGTAATAACCCTAATTACAGTGCACATATGAAATAATTTGAGGATAAAGATTATTTAGCTTCAGATGACAAACCTTGTTGTATGGGTTGAGAGGGCAGGCCTTAGCGTGACCATAACAGATGCACATTCCTCCTACTGATATATCCTTAATGGAGTAGTAATACTGAAAAACAAAAGCAATACAATCACATTAACCTCAAACTCTACTGTAATACATAAGTTAATTATTGCATCCGCTAGACAAGAAACAAGGAGCAAAACTAACTGTTGTCTATTTCCTACGCTTTACCCTCCGAAGTGAGAGATCAAGGTTTATTATTATTATTTTAAATATTTACAGAAGCATGTTTGCTGATGGTTTAATTTTTAATTTTTATTTTTTTCACTTGGCAGACCTTTTGTGGTCTGGACTGAGAGGTTCTGATGAAGCACTGGGAATCTTGGAAGCAAAGTATCTATAAGTTAAACTCTATGAACATCTCTGCTTTTCAGCTACAAATTCACATACCCACTCACACAACGAAAGTAGGAGTTTGTGAACCACTTTTCCCCATGAAGCTGCCAAAATATTTTTAAATATATAAATGAAAATAAGGAATTTATCTAGATGTGAACTGTTACCTTGCTGAAAAACCCAGCTGGTCACCAGCATAAGGTATGATTTGCACAGTGGTACCAGCTTCGGTCGCTGGATGCTGGTCACCATCACGGGACACTGGTGTGCTGGTGGACCAGCATATGTTGTCATTTGGATGCTGGTAGGATCCCAGTAAGACAAACAGTGCTCAACAAACAGTACGTGTGCAAACGTTGTTGAAGTCTGTTGTCACAAGTATGGTGATTAGTGTTCCCTCGATGGGCACTTTGCCCTTGACAATGGTTAAATTATTTCACTTTCACCCATAGTTACTATTGCAATAAGTTATGCCCCTCACTGCAATTAAATGCTTTTTTACTATGTGCTTTTTATGTTTATTCCTTTTACTAACAACTTTCTTGTTGTCAGTAGCTGTCAACTGGATTTTGACACATGAAAGTACCCAGATGTACTTTCAATTTTGAACTTGATGCAATGCAAGCGTGTTTTAATGCATACAGCGTGTGTTAAGCTGGTTGTGATGCTTAAACAGATCAATATTTTGAAAGTGCCACAAAGACACAGTATTAAACTTCCTGGGTAAGTCAATTTACCAAACTCACAACAATACACTTTAATATGAGAATGACACACATCACCTTTAAATTAGCCTCGTAATCATATGCGACCAATGTGGCTTAAGCCTCTCAGATTGCAAAATGACTCTTTGAACTAAATAAATTGGGTTCATTTATCCAAATTGCTCAATGCACGTGAGAAACGTAATCCTGCATTTCAATGCAACTACTCTTTGATGGAAACCGGTCAATCAGCGAGTCAATGAGTTTGTAGAGGGAAGTGGGCGGGTGGAGGCGTGTGATATGGTGTCTTTGAGGGAAAGAGAGGGCTGATTTGTTAATTACTGTATGATTTAATTAAAACCCATCTGTCTGAGGAGGAGAGGCTGGTAATGCATGAGGCGGGCAGCGTTAGCTCCAACCATCCACACACACACAGATGGTGTATGAATGGCACTGAGTGATGACAACACATTCCCCCTCTCACACTAGCACCACACTAGCACTCTAGTGTCTCCAGCTCCACCTGAGGCACTCACCTGTCTGGTGACGATGGGGTCAATGTCTCGGGGGTCATTGAGGGCGAGGGTCATGAGGTCAGCATTTAGGGTGCGGATCCTTTGGAACCACAGGCGGATATAGCGTGCCGAGGTGAAGTTGAGTAATGTGGGCGATGGATCGTCCGCACTGGGACGGCCGTTTATTAGTGAGGTTTGAATCTGAAAGAAAATGAGAAGTGATGAACTGCGACACATGACTGTCTTTATAAGTGAGTCATTGAATCATTTACTCAATCATGCTTAATCCTGTTTATTGGGGGGGGGGCAACAACACTTTTTCTTGTGTGGTTCTGCTAAAGTACTGGTACATACATATTTCAAAATGTAGTACATTATCTGAAAATTTGAACATAATCTTGCTAACCAAAAATAATACAATTAACCCTCTGGTTTTCCTCACACTTGTGACACTCTGAGGCCGAAAATATAAGGAGGACAATAAGCAGAACATTTTTTAATTAAATTAATGTGCTATATTTTGTTTCAATAATATTTATTCTTTAATATTTTTATGTTGATGGTATTAAATGGCAATAGACAATATTCACCTTAAAATTATGCTGCATTTTTGTCTATATAAACTAAAACAGTTATACAATAATACAATTAAGTTAAAAATATAACAAATGTATTTAAAATGCATTGCATGGAAGGCAGATCTGGTGGTAGAAATATACTGTATATAAAATCATATGTAATACTATGGTTTAACCACTAAATGCCTGTATACAGGGCTATGTATTGCATAGTTGCTTATAAATATATTTTCAGACGTAATTACTTACTTTTATTATGTTTTGCATTTGGATATATATAAAGCCATTACCAAATATTACTTTGCTCATTTGTAGCTACAATGTTTGTATTTTTGAATTTTTTGTATTTCCCATTAATTTTCTATTTTGGGTATTTTTGAGAGTGAAGATCACAAATGTAAAAAATGTTCTAATCATGTCCATGATTTTTTTCCCCATGTGTGCATATAGCAAGTGCCAAAAAGTCACTAAGTTTTGTATCATTCTGATAAAGTAAAAATTATAAAAAAATGTAATTCAGTCTAAAATGATCAAATAACACCATAGGGTAAATTGTATATAAACAAATAAGCAACATCCAATCACAGTTTTAATACAAGTGCAGCTTAAGGAAGTGATGCATGCGTGTCTGTGCAGTACTGGGCTGTTTTTCGTGGGTTAATGGTGTGTGCTAATTAGTGCTGTGTGAGTTTATGCTGTCTGTTTTTAAAGGAGATAGAGCGACATTTGAGTCCAGGCTTGATCTCTCCACCCACCTCCCTCATTAGTACGGCACACACACACACACACACACACACACAATGCTCTTCAATATAATCCTATGATCTGACAGCTGTAAATTTGACTTTCAGCAAACACACACACATTAAACCTGCTGCTGTAAGAGAACTTCCATCTCATTTATCATCCCTGTGTGGGTGTTCATGTCAGCCTGCTATTAGCTGTCAGACTCACTGTGTAGGGAAGTTAGCAGCTGTATTAATGCAAACATGCATAATTCCACATGCTTGGTTTGTATGTAAATGTGATCTGATATCTGTGTAAATGAGAGAGTGTGTGTGTTATTGAATGGGCTGTGAATGAGAGGGACACTGGAGTTTGTGTACCATTTGTGTGTGTGATTGTGAATATATTTTTCTCTTGTCTGTTTTCTCTAATTAAGAATCACAGTTAACAAGGTAACTTAAGATGCAGTCGAGCGAGACTCTGTGAGGTTTTCCATTCCTCAACCCTCTGTGCCACATATTCAAATGCATTTAAAGGGACAGTTCACCCAAAAATGGCAATTCTGCCATCATTTACTAATCCTCATGTTGTTCCAAACTCATAGGTGTACATTGTAGCAAAATAATTTCAATACATTTTAAAATCTAAATGATGATACCTTGTTTAAAATTTTTTATGAATTGATAAAACAGTGAAAGTTATAATTTCTTCAGAATATGCCATTCATGTCATAATCATCTAAAAATGGCATTGAAACCTTTTAATTTAACTACTTAATTTTGTTGCCCTATGAGTGAAGGTGTTTCTCACCTCTCCGTTCTCCAGAGGATGGATTTTGGAGTAGAAGGAAGTACAGATGACTTCCTCATCATGCATGTAGGATGGCGGGCCTGTTCTGGGGACGATGTTGAAGCGTGTGATGCACTCTGTGTCTGTAATCGCGTAATATTGCCACGGCATGAATGTTTCACCATCCAGAGAACGTTCTAGAATCCAGTTTCCGGGCCGAGGGGAGTTTGCAGCTTTCAAGATCACATAAGCGATCTGGAAGACCTGTGTGAGAGGAGAACATGGCACAGTACATTAATATTCTTAAAATTAAATATACTTCAATTTATATACTGTACACACTTTACCCCAGGCAGAATCTGTAACATTTTTAAAAAGAGAGATCTTTAAAAAGTTCAAAAATTTGAAATCAGCAAGATTTTTGAATGAATAATTTTTTAATCCAGATTATTTTTTTTATTCAGCAAGGACACATTAAATTAATTACAAGTGACAGTAAAGGCATTTATAATATCACAAAATATTTCTATTTCAAATAGATGCTGTTCTTTTAAACTTCCTATTCATCAAACAATTCTGAAAATTAAAATGGATCACAGTTTCCTCAAAAATATGAAGCAGCACAACCATTTTCAACACTGATAATAATCAGAAATGTTTCTTGAGCAGCAAATTAGAATGATTTCTGAAGATCATGTGACACTGAAGACTGGAGTAATGATGCTGAAAATTCAGCTGCGCATCACAGAAATAAATTACATTTTACAGTATATTCACAGAGAAAGCAGTTATTTTAAGTTGAAATAATAATTTATAGTAATTCCATTTTTATTGTGTTTTAAACAAATAAATGCAGATTTGGTGAGCAAAATCAATCAATCAATCAATAAAATAAACTTCATTCAGAAACATCAAAAAATCATACAAAAAAAAATAAATAAAAAAAAAACATGCTCAATGAACATAAAACATTAACTGAACTTACACAATTAATCCTGAATAATATTAAATGCCATTGCTAAATTCTACTTTGAACAGGATCATTTATATAACTTCAGTTGTTATTAATTAAATAATAATTAATTAATTATATTTATTTATTTTACAAAATGTACTAGTTGAAGATTTTAATGAAAATTATTTGTATTCTTTAAATATTATGTGGCAACTATTTTATAAAAGCAATATGGCTGTGCTTTAGTTTCTCCAAAGGACATCCTTTAGTGGTGATTACATTCAATATAACACGGCCTGGAGGACCTTATCGCTCAAATATAATGATGAGCAGTCAGAGATGTGCCCATGTCAGCTATTTTACAACAATTTCAAAACTATCCAATTCACAAAAAAAATTATAATAATTCTGAGCTTATTGTGAACTGTATTTCTGCAGGCTGATTTTCAGAGCAGCTGCTTTGTTTCAGCTGGTGTTTCAAACACAAAACACCAAACCCTGTGATAACGCTCGCAGTAGACTCTCATAATAGATGAGCTTCTTACAGGAGAACAAAAATGAAAGAGAAGATCTGAGAAAGAAAAGAAAAACTTGATTCCCATGATTCCCCACTCGTTTATTCAGCAGCAATAGACCTGAGGCACACGTGTATACACACACACACAGGCACACACACACACACACACACAGGCACACACACACACACACACACACACA